CCCCAAAACCCCAAAACCCCAAAACCCCAAAATATATTCTAGTTTTGAAATAATTTAAATTTTTTATGAATTTACTTCTAGTGTTGTTCATCATCCTTCTTTACTGAACTCATGCTGTCAAGAGGTTTGAGATGGTCCTTGAGCCAGTATTTAAAGATTCCAATTCTCTACTAAGAAATATCGAAAGTAAAGCTCAAATATCACAAGGCTCACATGAAACTCATAAATCAGGGACTCGGAGATATTTGAAATCTGTAGCTCAAGAAATTGATAATATCAGGAATTTAGAATATCATGGAACTCTTTATATGGGACCTGAGAAACAGAAGATGACATTTCAATATGACACTGGATCCTCGTGGATAGTATTTCCGACCACACTTTGTAAAGAATGTACAAATCATAATTTATATGATATTAATGGCTCTCTCGACCTTCCTAAAGATCACAAGCAACGTGAAAAAGCATTTGCCAATATCCCAGTGTACGACATTACATATGGAGATGGGAGCAATATCGATGTGACCAAAGTCCAAGAGGATGTTTATCTCAGTAAAGATGGACCTCAAGTAGTCAAAAATTTAGTCATGTTTGGAATAGTCTCAGCTCGCAACTATGAACGATCTATCGCAGATGGGATATTAGGATTAGGCCCCTCACATCAGAAAAGCGGAAGGATTAATTTTGTAACTACCCTAAAAGAACAAGGAATTATAGATGATGAAATAGTGTCTTTTGATTATAAACCAGTCGGAATGGATTCAAGAATTATTTTTGGCGATATTGATACAGAAGTTGTTAAAAATAAAAGTGATATCGCCTGGATTCCAATGAAAGGAGGAACAAACTATTGGATACTTTCAATAAATAGCGTTTATTATGGGGATAAGAAACTTCATTATCAACCAAAATATGCAATCATTGATACTGGGAGTTCAGACTTGGTCCTTGCTCAGTGGGCGTTTCTTGATTTTATGGCATATCATCTGAATAGGAGTCTTGACTGTTCATTTAGTCCTAACAAAGAATTTGTAGAATGAGGTTGTGAAGGTGGACTCGAAAGCTTTCCAAAATTTACATTCAATATCAATGGATATGATCTAGTACTGGGCCCTGAGGAATATATCCTCAAAGTAGGAAAGAGCTGATCTATACAAATCTTCAATATTGGAAGTGAAGTGAATATGCAGGATACTATTATCCTTGGAGTAAATTTTCTTCGTAAATATTTTACTATATTTGATATCAAGAACTCAAAAATCGGTATTTATGGAAAAGGAGTAACAAGAAATAAAAACTCCACACCAAAATATAAGCTTTATCTGGTGCTTACAAGTCTTCTTGCTTTAGTAGCCATTATAACTGCAATACTCTTCATGTGTGAACCAAGGATAGAAAGATCATTTTCTCAGGGTGGAAAAATGCACTAAAATATTACATCTATTGCTTTTAGAAGAATCTTTGTTTATAATTTATACGTAATTTATCATAAAAGTTGAGAAAATTAAGCTCTGAAGAGATAAAAGAAATACTGCAAAATTCAATATTAAACAATTAAAAAGGGGTTTTGGGGTTTTGGGGTTTTGGGGTTTTGGGG